GACTACGTCGCGTGTCTAATTCATTTATCTCTTTTTGGCATTCCTGGAGTAAGATGCTTATAGTCTTGAATTTTTACTTTTTCACCGATAGCTCATTTTTTTTTTCTTTCTAACTCATTTTGTTAGATGCTACAAAAATATATTTAATAAGTTAGGTGGAACCTTTAAAATGATATTCCTCTGAATACTTTAACTCATAATTTGGTTTTTGATGTAGTCAAATTGCATTGATAGATTCATACGGGCTACGACTAACCCCATCGAATGAGATAAAACTTGGTTGTCATCGTTCTTTGATATCGAGTAGTTTGAGAACTTGCATACTCATGCTTATTCTAGAGATAAGAAAAAGATCAACTATAACTTGAAATTATTTGATTAAACCAAGACTTTGCCAAGCAGTTTGGCAGATATTCTTAAGCATCCCATTAAAGCTGCACTGTTCTATAATAATAATAGTATCAATTCTGTCTATTCAGAAATCCTTGCTTCTCTTTTATATGGACGATGAGTGTCATAATTGTTCTGCCCAAAGTGTGCGGGTATTTTCCAAAGTCCCACATCGGGTAGTTTTGAAGAAGGGAAGTGGTAGACTACTATTATAAATAAGGGGTGATAGTTTGAGTCTACACACCACAACAACACTAGTCTTTGGGTGTATTGAGGACTTGGTAGTTGTGTATCAAGAGAGGGTTTATAATTTTTTCGTGCAAAAATTGTGTGAGAGGGTTTGCAATTTTTCCGTGCAAAAATTGTATGAGAGAGTTTGCAATTTTATCCTTGTAAAAAATTTTCTAAATTTCAAGTTTCGCCAGAAAAACTTGTGAAGAAGGGGTTTCCAAGTTTCGCCAGAAAAACTTGTGAGGAAGGGGTTTCCAAGTTTCGCCAGAAAACTTGTGAGAAGTGGTTTTCAAGTTTCGCCAGAAAACTTGTGGGAAGATGGTTTTCAAGTTTTGCCAGAAAAACTTGTGAGGAAGGGGTTTCCAAGTTTCGCCAGAAAACTTGTGAAGAAGGGTTTTTCAAGTTTCGCCAAAAAACTTGTGAGGAAAGGGTTTCCAAGTTTTACCATAAAACTTGTGAAGGAGGGTTTCCAAGCTTCGCCAGAAAACTTGTGAATGATGATGGATTAATGTGAGACTTTGGATGAAGGGAGGATATGTTGTGCCCAAAGTGTTTGGGTATCCTCCAAAGTCCCACATCGGGTAGTTTTGAAGAAGGGAAGTGATAGACTACTACTATAAATAAAGGGTGATAGTTTTGGTCTACTCACCACAACAACACTAGTCTTTGGGTATATTGGGGACTTGGGTAGTTGTGTTTTAAGAGAGGGTTTACAATTTTTCCGTGCAAAAATTGTGTGAGAGGGTTTGCAATTTTTCCATGCAAAAATTGTATGAGAGGGTTTGCAATTTTATCCTTGTAAAAATTGCAAGTGGAGAAATAATATAATTTGTTGAGTATGTTTGTGGATGTAGGCAAGAAGTGCCGAACCACGTTAATTTATGAGTTTGTTTCTCTTTATGTTGTTTCTCTCGTGTGTGTGCTTCCGCTGTTGAAGTTTTCTTTTCCCTCTGGTACCCAACAATAATTTGAAGCAGAACAATTTAAATGTCACCCTTTTTAGAATATCCATGGATCTAGTAAAATTTTAGTTCCAAATCTAAAGGTAGTCAGAAAGATTTTTCGGTAATATTAATCATCAATGACATGGAGATAAAAACAATTTTTGGTCCAAGGTTCCATAATATAGTATTGACCGATGATAAACACACCTCCATTTTTTTATAAATACATTCTTTTTTTTTAAATAATATATTAAATTCCTAAATTACCCTTAATATTTTTTCTAACTTATAATTTTTCAGATTTGCACCTCTCTTTTTCTTTCTTTTTTGTGCACATCTGTTCTTCTTTCTTATCCATGCTCCCCCTTTCTTCTCCGACCTCCCTACCTTCCCTTCTACCCTTTTCAATTTTTGCAATATCTTCTTCCTTTTTTGGTTTTGTTATAAGCTGTAAGCGCGCGAGTTTAGTGTCGAAGGAAAATGTGTGAGGTCATATGCATTTTTCCTCCAAGTAATTCTCCTCACTATCTCCACCTTCTT